TTTTCTCCTATATTTTGTATTTTACTCATCAAAAATCAATGAAAATAAATTCCATACAAAATGCCCAAAAAAGCTTCTCAGCAAAAATTAATTCCAATATAGATTATTTTACAGTACCATAAAATATGGGATTTTATATTTTCATTGAAAGTCAGTGTTCTAAATTGGGCATTTATATCAACTTAATTTAAGGCTTACTTTGTTAATCTGATCATGTTTATGTTGCTATTAAATTCGGCAAAGTACATATTAATGATTTACATTATTACCCTGGCCTTTGTATTAAACAATCTCGACTCCCTGGAGATCATGCAGCTCAGACATCATCAGAGTTAAACATGTACGTAACAGTCACTACCAGGTACCTGTTTACTCTTGCATGGTGAGAAAGCTTTAAAATAGAAAGAGTAAATTGCCTTCCCTGAGGTCATAATGTGTTATTGACGATTCTAAAATAGTGAATCCTTTATGTTGTGATGTTGAGTGGATTTAAATGAAAACATGATTTAATGGCTCCACTAAATTTTATTCTCTTTATTATCTGTAAGAAGTCTTGTCTCGTTTCATATTTTAGTACTTGATGTTGAGTCTAGAGGGTTCCCAGGTTAAAGGCCAAAAGTGATTAAATTGCATGAAAAATATAGGAAAAAAATGAGGAATACAAAGCCACTTCATATATACTGTAAAATACTTGAGACTTGAGTGTTTTGTATTAAATTTATTTTCACTGATTTCTTGCAAGTTAAATGTGAAATATAGGAAAAAACATATATTCGCTGAATTTTATTTTCACTGAGTCACTCCTTTAGCGAAAATTAATTCCTAGTGAAAATAAAGTATGTTACAGTAATACACATGTGATCCTCTGTCCCAAAATTAGGGTGCGACCATTTCACTGCTGGGGTGGGGCTGAATTTAGGGTCAAGACGTCTCAGAATCAAAATTTTCATGGAAAAAGTGATTAACTGTGTAGTAATTTGAACGCTTCACTTGATCTTACCTCTGTGTCGTCACTGATAAAAAAAAAAAACTCGAACTTAAATTACTGTAAAATACTTTATTTTCGCTTGAAATTAATTTTTGCTAAAAGAATGATTCAGTAAAAATACATTTGTTCCTTTATTTTACATTCAACTTGTCAAAAATTAGTGAAAATAAATTCCATACAAAACACACAAAAAGGTCTTTTCAGCAAAAATTAATCCATCTAAAATAAGTATTTTACAGTATTTGTACTTCAGCTCCTGAAGTGGTTATGTTGGTTAGCTACTGTGGAGCGTGAAGTGAAGTAGCTATTTTTAAATTTTATGTAAATGACTATTTTTGCACAAAAATATGACTCTGGTTAATAATTATAAACTGAGAAAAAAAATTAACACTTGCATACACGTTAGAAAATGTTAATTTGAGTAATCTTGATTTTGAATAATTTAATTTGAAATAACTTTTGTTTTGGTTAATTTTGATTTTAATAATACTAATAATTTGATTTTGAATCAATTGATTTCAGATAAAAAAAAATAATTGAAAATAATTTTGATTAATTGTGATTTTGATAAAAATGTTATTTATATGTATTTGCAGAGACCACATAAAGCAACACAAGAAGAAATGACCAAATACCACAGTGATGATTACATCAAATTCTTAAGGAGTATCAGGCCAGACAACATGTCAGAATACACAAAACAAATGCAGAGATGTAAGTTTTTACCCCAATTTAGTATTTATAATTTCAGAGTGTTTTATTCTTTTAACACTTGTATCGATAAAGTTTTTGATGTAATAATATTAGGTTATTACTAGAATACCTCAAAGTATGCACAAAGACAGTACAGTTTGAGTATCGACCAACGTACAGCAGAGGTTGATGCGCGGCGTAATGTCTGAATGCATACTTTGAGGTATTCTCACAATAACCGTATTATTATACATCTTTTCCTTCCAAGGGTACATCATGGGAATGCCTCAATCCAAAAAGTTTAGAACAGAATCAGCATACTTCTTTGTGTGAAGTCTGGTCAAACTCCGATGGCAGCCATGTTTGTTTTTATAATTAGAGGTCGCTTATGCGCATAATCATTCCATATTTGGAATTCACACTTCCTTATATGGTAGGATGAAAATACCCTGTAAAATACCGCAAAATTTTGACACACTGTAACTTATAATAATTTATATTAATATTATAAATTGCAAGTAATGGTATTTGGTAGCAGATATACATGTAAGACCTCTCTAGAGAAAATTTGGAGCAAATAATCTCTAATAACCTCTCTTATGCTTGGTTATTTTCTCTCGCCTAATATGATGCTTCAAATATGTAACATTTTTGAGCACTTGCATAGTTTTGTCGCCATCTTGGATTTCTGGCAAAAACTACCAACATTTTAGGGATTTCTTTCTCAAGAGCAGCTTTAATTTAGTTCATGATTGTTCATCTATGTAATTTCCTTTTATTTGTCATAAATAATTTCTCAGTTAATGTTGGAGAGGACTGTCCAGTTTTTGATGGTTTATACGAGTTTTGCCAGTTGTCCACTGGTGGTTCTGTCGCTGGTGCGGTGAAACTCAACAAGCAACAAGCTGATGTGGCTATCAATTGGTCAGGTGGTTTGCATCATGCTAAGAAGTCAGAAGCGTCAGGATTTTGTTACGTCAATGATATTGTTCTTGCAATATTGGAACTTTTAAAGTAAGTTGTGTTTTCTTGTATCACTGCAACAAATGATGGGCATGGATTTCAATGATAAAATTCAGAAAACTAATGTTGACTCTTCTACAGTAAATTTTTACGTCAATAATGTGTTTTCTGTGATTTTTCTCTCAATTCTGTTTTCATTTTGAATGAAACTTGCAGAATATGAATGATTGTTGTATATTGATTTTTATCCAAAATATTTAATTAGGTTCAACATTCTTCACGAATTTCACATGCTGTTCTATTTTCCATTGTTACATGGGTGACATTTTTATTGTTTGAATTTGTAAAAGATGCTTTTAAAATCACCTCAGTCGTTGTGACACATCACCATAAACACTCCCATGTCTAACTTTTTTAACCAGCCACCTGTTGACCCGTCAATTTAGACAAATATGCCATATTTGGTCTAATAGAAGCACATCTCCGATAGACAGACGATACAATTGTATTGGCTGTAACTAAATTCATTTAAATATTATGTATTTTGATCATAAAAAAATTTACAAAATAATTATAAATAATCAACAAAAATAAGTCTATGGTCACAAGACTACTTACTTTTGTCCATATTGTTTTTAGATGGGCACTTCCTTCCTGGGTTTACAAAATGTACTCTTTGTCCTATGTTACAATGTATATTTACAACACAAAAAAATGGTAGTGGCTGTTACATACATGTTTACAACAACTGGTGCTCAAAATTAACTGATTCTGTGATTAAGTTATTGTCACATTTCACATATGTTTCAGTAATATACCACTGATATTAGCTAAATAATTGTAATTTTCAGATATCACCAGCGAGTATTATATGTAGATATTGATATCCATCACGGTGATGGGGTAGAGGAGGCATTTTATACAACAGATCGGGTTATGACTGTGTCATTCCACAAATATGGCGAATATTTTCCTGGAACCGGAGATTTAAGGGTAATTATCATTTAAAATGAACGACTTGAAGCGGTACAGTTGTGACGCCCAGACATGGAGTTGTACCTAATTGGCTACCTTTATATTTTAATACTTTATGATAAATCTATGGATAAATTAGTAAATCAGATTGGCAAAAACAATTTTGTAATTTTCCCTAACTTGCAAGACTTCATCTGTCATGAAATTAAATCTGATTACTGTACTCATGGTATTCACTGGTTTTTAATTATCAGGATATTGGAGCCGGTAAAGGTAAATACTACGCTGTGAATTTTCCTCTCAGAGATGGTATCGATGACGAGTCTTACGAACAGATATTTGAACCTGTAAGTATAACATACGTTAAAGACTTTATACAATACACAATGATTTTCACAGCAGTAACTTTAAGCTTTTAAGCTTTTGTGAAATTAAAATCCAAATTAAATTGAATAATAATTTAGTACCAAAAGTGTGTTAACAATTACCATGCTTAACCCTTGAAGTGCCATGGTCAACTTTTGTCACCATTCACAAAATACTGTGGAATACTTTTATTTTCGCTGGAATTTATTTTCGCTGAAAAGGCTTTTTGGGTATTCTTTATGAAATTTATTTTCACTGAGTATATTTGCTGGATTTTATTTTCACTGAATCATCCCTTTCAGCGGAAATAGCAAAAATAAATTCCAAACGAAAATAAAGTATTCTACAGTAGTTCTATATACTGTATGTGCATATTAATTAGGCAATTTGCATATCATTAACCCTTCAAGCGCCAAAGTCAACTTTCGTCACCATTCACAAAATAGTTCTATATATCATCTGCACATATTAATTGGATAATTTGCATATCATTACCCTTTAACCCTTTGCGCCCCAATGCGGCCATATACGGCCGCTTATTTCTGACCAAAGATAACCCAATTCGGCCGTAAAAGGCCACCCGTTAATGCACTGTCAAAATCCCAATGCGGCCGTAAACGGCCGGTATTTCATAGATTGAAACAGAAGTTGATTCTGATCTCCCATGATCTTTGCATGAAAAAATAAATTGGTGATGAAAATAATTAGAAATACAGGTACGTTCAGACTGAAAATTATATACGAATTGTCC